ATTCTTCAATCATTTTCAAATGGGATAAATCTAAAATCCATACATGAACTAGTACTTATTATGCAAAACTGTTGGATAAAAAGAATTTCAGATTAACAGTTCAAGAATGTAGGAAGAGGATTATCCAACCGAGATCGGATACTGGTAATCCATTGTGAACGCATCCTTCCCCACTTTCCCAAACTGGAGGATGACATTCATGTGCTGCTCCTGCCCGGGAGCTACATTCTCCGCAGCAGCTGCAACCTTGGTGCATTATTCCTCAATACCAGCATTCCATCTTTTTGGTCAGATAAAGGTACAGACTGGAAATTCTCGGCACGGGTTGATTTTGATCTAAAGAAAGGTAGTGATGGAAAGGTGTCCGGATTACTGTGTAGAAATTCGGTCTGTGTGGGAGCGACACCTCCGGGCTCAATAGAAGAGGCTGGGATGGCATCCATGATGCACTGCATTCTCCTTGGACCTCTTTTCAAGAATATGTTATTTTCAGTGAGCATAAAATAAATAAGTGATGCAAAGGAGACAGAACGTGCAACTTTCTACATACATCTTACCTAGAACCCAAGATGTTCAACTCATACGAGATGTGGGCTACGGGATAGTTTCCAGCCGGGACTTGAGGAGAAACTTGGTTCACATTCATCAAACTGGTGGAGCAACTTTTGCTAACTTTGGCTCGAGAATTCGCGGGCTGTGAATCATAGATTGTGAATTTGGTCCCCAAAAAGTTTGATCTATTCTAGCAAATCAAGAATAAGTTTTAGGTTTTCAAAATGAGTAATGTTATCACTCGAATCATAGTCCACCAATCGATACCTTAATTTTCAGATGTAGGTACTGCTCCCTTTTGACACATCATCGCCATTTAGTGAGATGATGTAATCTGAACAGGTAGGCCAGCGGCACATCCTGGCCATAAGAAGGAACTTTCCATCATCATTGGTAGCTGCCAAGAAAATGCACACATTGAAACAGTTTCAAATAAAACGATAACACTCAATTAATCTAACTACATATCATACCCTCAATGTTTTTTAATCAGCAAAATCTGCTTTCAGAAGACAACAGCAAGCAGCATGATTTCATGAGTGAATATACAGAAGCAGACGACAAGCCCTTCCCAATGCACAAAAAGAAAAAAAACATAAACAAATAAAAGCAACTTTACGATGGCCAAGGTAAAGATAATATGTTTAGTTGCTACAATTCCGTATATGTAGCACTGAAGGAGAGTTCCTTGGACCAGGCTGCAAAAAGAATAGCAACAATACATGGCGTAAATTATCAGTAACAAATCAACAGATAATTGGTGAAGAAATGAACTCTCAGCTTTGGAATTTATGTCAGGAGAACTGACAATTGAAAAACCGGGACATTATGAAGGAGAATTTCATATTCTTAGTTTATCACTAGAATTCATAGAGCTTTTACAAACACTTGTTGTGATGCAGCAGGATACAGTTACAGATCCAAACGTATTTCAGACTTTTGATTCCGAAAATTCCTAGAGTATCACGAAGCAGTTCTAGAAAGCAAACTATATAATAGAGATCTTGGCCTAAACTAACCAGCAATAGGAAAGAAAAAAAAGTACAGGCTAACATCTCTTACCTGCTTCAATGAGATTGGGAATGTCAACTTGCCGGAAATTTCAGGGCTTTTAACAATTTCCTTCATAATCTCTCTCCAATTCCCACACACTCCGGCACAAGCAACCACATTTTTCCTTGGAGGCCAAGTAATATCGGATGCTTCAATTCTCATCAACACATCCCTCAGAAGCTCGGCGGGCATGTTTGCCCAACAACTCTTCTTGAATGCATCGATTGGACCCGAGCAATCCTGGACTATACTATGCGACCTTGATCTCGCCCCATTCCCAAACTTCACATCTACCCCCTTTTTCGATATATTCCCCAACTCCCCCTTCATGTCCTGGATAATTCTCTTTAATGACATCAACCCCTCTCTTCTCCTAATCCTCTAAAGATCTCGAATAAATCAACAATGTACCTAAAAACATCCAAATTTCCTAGATTCTCACCAAAAGCACAACCTGGTAAACAGTCTAATGATTTCAATGGTGGAGTTATACCCTCCAAGAGTCTACTTACCTACCTTACAAAAATTCTCATACTTCACACACAATTAAGCTAATAATCAGGCACTAAACAAACCAAAAGCAGTGACGGATGCACTAAGCCCAGGAGATCTCTCATTATCCTAACCAACCAAGACCCGATGAAACTACCCATGGGTCAAGATCAAAGCACAGGTAAGGGAAAGAAGATCCCATGGGTCAAAATGGATCAGGTTCTCGGGTCAAGGGATTGACCCGGGTTTTGGGGGGTCCGGTGAAATCTGTAAGGGTTCATTGGAGACAAGGAGAAGAAAGATGGCTGCAGCCTGCAAATGCAGGATAGAAAAAAGTTGGGGTGGGGTATTTGGGCATTTGTGGTTTGGGGGCGGATTTTGTGTGGCGGAGTGTGAAGGTGGTGGGGTCATAGGTCACGGCCGATCCATCCATAGCGTCTGATCATCTCCCGGATCCGGCTTTGATTTCTGGGTCTTGAACCTCACGTTCTCGTCGGTTTAGGATCATGGAGATGTTGGGTCATTAATGAAAAGCCGATGGTCTTTTTTCATTACCAAAATGAAGCCCAAAGGTAGAGTTCGAAATTTGTGTGAGCCCAAATATTATTATAGCGTAAACTGAGGAGTTGTTTGTTTGTCTCTTAATAGAATCATTCAGCGTTGAATGCTGAACCGTTCAACATTCAACGCGTTTGTTTCGCACCTTTGAATGATTCAGTGCTGACTGATTCAGTAAAACAGTGTTGAATGATTCAGCACAGAAGTACATTCTGAATGATTCAGAGCCATTATCAAACAACATGTCACATTCAGAGTTAATTCATACAGAACCTCTGAATTATTTAGAATTTGAATCATTCAGCGCTTAATCATTCTGAAATAAACAAACATCCATAAATTAGGTATAACTGAACAATTGATTTTATATTAAAAATGCCATTGAGAATTGATACGATTATAATATCAAATTTTTTTTGCATGTAATTATATTATTGAGTTGTTTTCCCTTTAACAACAGATGACATGATAATTTAGTACCGATATAATATAAATGCGTACTAACATTAAGTTAAAGATATTTAATTTTTTATTTCATTTCATCATTTTTTTCATTAAAATTTTAACTTTTAGTTTAAAATTATCATTATAACATATAATTATCATATGAGACTAAAATATAAATTTACTCAATAAAACAATTTTTTATTAATTTTAAAAGAGTTTTACAAAAAAAGAATCTAAAAAATGAGCGAAATGAATAAAACGTAAATCTTGTGAATGAATGAATAATTTAATTAAAACAAGACTTTATTGTTGAGCGGTTGATGTCTTGGTGAGTAATGTATATGTCTAAAGACAAGATAAATAATATAATAATAATAATAATAATAAAATTTGAATTCAATACACAACATCTAAACCATTTACCTTTGGTTTTTGTTATAGGCCAGGTCACTCGACATTAATTCCTTTCCTTAATGCATAACATGTCAGACCCATCGGTAAGGTTGTAAATTAGGGGGGAAATAATATCATATTATTATAATTATACAATTGAAATGACCATCAAGCTCAGTTGGTAGAACACAAGGTTCTTAATCTTAAAGTCTTGAGATCGAGTCTCACGGTAGGTATTTCATAATTCGGAGGTCTCCTACGGAAGCTGCTATCAACCTGTCGTTGGGACAACCTACTATCCTACTTCCCCTTATCCCATTACATATGAGAATAAGGGTCAGCTAACTTTTTTATAATTACACAAATAAATTCCTTGATAAATGTACAGATGGATAATCGATCCTTTTATATTGTGTGGGAAAATGTTTGGAGTACCTTTGTTTTTGTAGGATACTTTTGTGTTTCTTGTAATAAAATATTATTTTTCTTGGATAATAAGATTTTAAAATATCCAAAAATTATAATTTAATAAAATATATATTAAATTATAAAGTATTATTTAAATTAAATTAATTAATTAATAAATAGAATACCAATTATAATGAAAAAAATAAAGAAGTCGCAGTTTATTTGGCTTAACTTGGCGGTTTCTTTTCCCTTCTTTTTCTCGTGACTGTTGTATCTGAAATTTTCGACCGTTACTCCAAAGTGTTTATTAATTCACAAGGCCACACTGTGATGAGTCATGACCATGATTAGACCTGTCATCATTCCAACTGTTACCATCCTATTTTAATTCACATCGAGTATCGAAACCACCTCTAATCTAATTATTCAAATAAATTTGTTAATTAGTGTTTAATAAATTAGTTAAGTGGTATTCATATTAAACAAACCTTAATGAATTCGTATTTTCCTGTTATATTTGCACACAAAACATCGATAAATTTCCCAAAAAGTATGCATAAATCCCTCGAATTAAAATTAAAGTTAAGGCCATTATATGGAAATGAGGTGATTCTTTTAGTTAAGTAAAATATTAAATTTGTCTACACTGCATTAAAGAATTCAAAATCTTTGGCCTTTTAACACGTGTAACAAAGCAATTGGTTGATACACAAATCCCCAACCACAGAAAGAAGACAAAAAGGCTCACTAATACTGTCAATGGACTGTATTTATTAGTAGTATAGGCCGAGAGGGCTGAAAGCTACGAAGGAAGAAAGCAAGAAGACAAGGAGGAACGCTCCATCAACCTCTGTTTGGTAAATCTTCCTTCATCTCACCTTTGCATTCGAAGCTTAAAAGGATTGCCTTTCCTTTTTCGTTTTCTGGGTTCATTATGAAGTACTCTCTCAAGTAATGCATAGATTGAAATGCCAGACATATATCTTTCCATATAGATATTTTTACTTTCTTTATGATAATGTAATATATGGTAGTAACCAAGATTTTTATTTGTTTAGCGAACTGGATAAAAAGATTAAGATTTTTAGTGTTTGGCCTCTTTTTTTTTAAGGTAAATAGGAGGCAAGAGAGAGATGGTTCAAATGATGAGAAAGATGGAAAATTCACGATGGTGGTGGTTCGATAGTCATCACGACGCTTCAAAGCGATCCCAATGGCTTCAAACAACTCTTTCTGGTAAACCCCATTTCTACCCCCAGCGCACTGTTTATTACAATCTCAGATGATCTTTCGTTTTTCTCTTTTCTGCTAGCAGAGTTGTTCATTGAAGATTTCTTGACCGTTGGAGACAATGCGTTGTATATATAAAAAATGCTTTTCTCACTTTTCTTTCTTACGAGTGTTTCAACCTTTTTAGTCACTAATCACAATTTATGTGTGACAGCACGGCCTTTTCTTTTACATGTGAGACAGGAGTACAGATTTTAGGGGAACCTGAGACGTCTCTGTCTTGTAATTTGAAAGATGTTTTTTTCTCTCTAGGAGTGCAGTATGGTAATGGTGTTAGGGTTGACAACCAGTGTATCCTTACTATACAAAATAAACCCTTTATATTTCAAATTTCTTCAACAGTAAAGCTAGCAATTAATCTAGTTCTAGGTTTCATTATGCAGCATTTTGGTGAACATGGGAATGGCATTGAATGAACACTGACATACCTAGATCTACAAACGTAATTGTTCAATTCCAAGATTTCTAGGGAAAATAACACCTCATTGTATAGGTTCTGAAACTGAAACCCATCAAGCACTGTTAAATCTCCCACCTTTTCTTATTTCCTATTAACCTTTAAGGGTAGCCTTGCAGCTTAAGTCATTAGGCCTCTAAAAGCATTGTTTTATGAGCAATATTTTTTGTTTTCTCTTGTATGTCAACCAGAATAATTTGTCTTCCATGTAGAAGATTACCAGGGAGAAATAGTAACAATGACCGATTCATTGTACTTCCTGGATTTTCATTTCTTGTACCATGCTTTTGTTTGCTCTCTCTTCATTTGCTAAAATGATGGAATTGATTCTATCTCAATGATAGAGCTGGACAACAAGACCCAAGCAATGCTAAATTTGATAGGGGAAGATGCGGATTCCTTTGCAAAACGTGCAGAAATGTATTACAAGAAGCGTCCGGAGTTGATTAGCATGGTTGAAGATCTCTACCGGTCACACCGTTTACTTGCCGAGCGGTATGATCAAATCAAGTCAGACCCTGAAACTCGACTTGTAACAACGTTGGGATCCCCATTTGCTTCCATGAAGTACCATTCAGATAAGACCATGAATTTCATGGACAAAATCTATGACAGCAGCTCTGAGACTTTTGATTCCGATGACTATGCTGAATCTGAAGTCGATGACCCCGAACTCAATGAAAGTGCAGATGAAGTGGAGGAACACAATCACGAAACCGCCATAGTAACTAAAGGAAGGCACGTTGAGAAGGAAGAAGCTGCAACGAAGGTGTTCAATGACGAAGCAATGAAGTTAAGGGAAGAAATAGAGAAACTGAAAGAAGAGAACAAGGCTCAGAAGGCTCAATTAATTCAGAAAGATGAAGAGAAGAAAGAGGTGATCAGACAACTCAGTTTGGCAGTCCAAGTGCTAAAGGATGAGAATATGGAGCTTAAGCATAGTATTGCTAAAGTAGCACCTCACACAAGGAAAAGGAGTCCCCTTGAATTCAACAAAATTAAGGGAGTGCTTTTTGGGATGTTATTCAACGGATCGCCGAAGTCCAGTTCGAGTGTCGTTGCTCTGTAGTTTTCAAGTTAGGTTACATTAAGGCAAACACCATATACATGTAAGTTCAGGTTAGAAGTATTACCTCAGTTTGTGCCATTCTTTTGTTCAATTGTTTCTTTGTTGTTGTTTTCCCCTAGTGTGACACCATGTTGTACTCAATGTAGTCTTTGTGCTGATGTTATATATGAAATCATTTTTTGTACCTAGACAGAGCTTCTCTTTGATTCCTTTAGATCTTTGTTTGCATTGATAGAGATTTGCATCAAAGCTACTTTACTAACAACAATGCCTGTAACACCTCAATTTAGGGGCTAAATTTAAGAAAATATAAATTGGTGGATTTAATTTGGTATTTTGAAAGAAATAAGGGATTAAATTGTAAAATTTTAAAGTTGGCAGACCGTTTTATGAAGTGCAGGAAGTTCAGTGGCTAAACTCTTGGTTTAACCATTTTTAAATATGAGATGTTATAAACCTCAATCCCCCGTATGTTTTCTGGAAAATTTTCCAGTTTTCCCTCTCCCTCAACCCAACTTTGAACTCCGATCTACTCGCCGTCCGACCTCCAAACAATGAGCCGAAACCACCATCGTGTTCGTTATCAACCGAGGAACAAAACCCCTCAAACCTTTCGTCGTGAATCATCGCCGTTCGTCGTGAATTTCATTCGGAAGTATCATCGGTAATAACTCGGTTTTAGTTGGTTTTTCATCGATTCACGACGATCGGGTCATCCGTTTACGACACCTCCCGCACCATCGTGTTCCTTGTGCCGTTCCGAGTCCATCGGTGTTCTCCTTTTTCTCCGGCGGCGGCGGCGCGTTGGGAGGTGAACCGGTCAAACTTCCCGATTTGTTGAAATCGAGCTATCCGCCGTTCAAAATTGTGAACCGAGCTTTGTAAGTATCTCGAAATCGCTCAAAATAATTTTTAGAAATTTTCCGGGATTTTATCACAGTTCACGCGCCCCCACGCGCCGCCTGCTGGGGAAGGAAAAAGTGACCGGTTTGACCGGTTTTGGAACTATTTTGACCGGTTTGACCGGTCACAACCCGACCCGACCCGTTGACCCAACTCGACCCGTTTACCCGACCCGTTGACCCGACCCGACCCGTTGACCCGACCCGTTGACCGTTTACCCGTTGACCGGAGTTGACCACTGTTGACCAAAATTTTGACCGGCTTTGACCGGGCATTAAACGACCTTTGACTTCGACCGAGTATACCTATCCTGACATTTTTCGACGTTCCAAATCCGATTCCGCTGTCCGTTTTTCAAAATTCGAACCCGAAGGCCTCGAAATTGTCAGTCAAAACCCGTTGACTCTGATTTTGACGAAAATTCCAAATTTCCGAAAAGTCATATTTTATGCTTTCGACGTCCTGAATCCGAATCCGAAGTCCGTTTCGCCAAATTCGAACTCGGTAAGCCATCTTCCACTAATTTATCACCCGATTCGATCCGTTTATCGTAATTAAGCTCCGTTCTGATATAATTTATGTTAATATGTATCTGAGGAATTATTGGAAGTTGAATTGAAGATCAAAGGCGTTCGAATGGAATTTTTATGGTCGATCAGTATTGCACGGAAATCGAGGTAATACTTTACTACCTCTTTATGCTTTATAGGACATGTTGGTATTGGTAAATGCATGAATGGAAATGTTTGGTCTCATATGTGTAATTAATGAAGTTCTACACTCGATCTGAATACGGTAAAAAGGTTCAGTAATTGATTATGGTTCAGATGACTTTTATAAGAAATTAAGGGATTGCTAGAATTAAATTACAAGTTGTGCTAGTGGTAAAGAAATCAACCTGGATCTGTAAATTATAATTTATTTCATCAAAGGTTAAATGTTAAAGGCATTTGGATGTGAATTTATGAAAATACTCCGGTAGGGTAAAATTACGAAAATACCCTTGTGTTATAAAAGACAAGATTGGAATATGGAAGTTAGATAAGAGGATTTTACAGACATATTGATCTGATAAAAATATTGATGTGCATAAGAAATGATAGTTATACGTAGACATTATGGATAACCGGTTTTTAACCCCAAGAGGTTTATGCAAGATACTAGAAGTGTGTTAAGGGAATTATTTCAAGATCAGAGATTGTTCAAGAAAGCAATTAATCATAAGATCTCTAAATTATATTATTTCGTTAAGAGCTAATATCGAACTTATCTGGTTAAGAAATTACGGAAATGCCCTTAAGAGATAGAATAGTCTGAGATGACTCTGATTGAGAAAATACTTAGAGGATTCGTACTTAACTCGATTAAGTACGGATTTAATTGTTAAGATCCCGACTTAGTGCAGGAAAATTTCTGATATTCAGTTTGTAAAGTCTGAGAAGACACTTGACCTGAAAATATTCGAATAATGATTAAATACTTGAAGAGTAATTTATCGGGGGTATTCTGCTGTCAGAATTGTTCGAAAGGACTGAAGTAAATGATAAGATTGAATTAAATAATAAGATCGGATGGAAGAAAAGATTGAAATACCGTAGATCTGTAAATGACCAAAATACCCCTGTAATGGAAATGACCCAAGATTATCACCAAGCTCAGGAATGATTGGATATCCTCGAGCTCTGAAATGAATGGAATAAAACTAAATACCAAAATTACCAAAATACCCTCATGACCTATACCAAGTAAATGCCTTGGATTAATTAAGGAATCCAAATAAACATAGGTATTGGCATACCTTTAAAAGTAATGGAAACAACTTAAGTGAGTAGATCAACCCTAAATCTATGTCAATACCTAAATAGCATAGATATTACTGGAATGCGTGTTCGTCTTCTTAAGTTTGGCTCGATGATAATTTGGAAGTATTCAACTCAACTCAACTCTAGATCGCATTCAGTACTATGAATTGGACGTTTGTTAGTCAAATCAACCATGAAGACCAAATCGAATGGAATGGAAGTACAACATGTATCTAAAATTCAGTAACGTCTAAATTACTCTGAAAAACCCCGAAGTAACTGGAATGAATTTGACTGCTAAATAAGCTAAGTAACCTCAATGATCGAGGATTAAGTAAGTGAATTGGATAAGTCTGGAAATTTTGATGAGTTTATAAGATGTACTGTCCTTATGGAACATGAACTACAAATCAAGCACGTCAGTATTTCATGATATCGTGGAAGCTTGGAAATGAAATAAAGATCATTGGAAGATCTATTCAGCGATGATTCTGAAGGTGATCTATGAACAAGAATTTGTGGTATTAAAAAGTAAATACCCTGGAAGGGAAATGAATTGACCAGTGGATATAATTGTTAAGGTTCTGAATCTTCGTTATCAAGTTGTTCGATTATCCGATCAATTGACATGGATACAAAGGATTCTGAATACCCTTCTGATTATGTACAACTTCTGAAAACTGTTCGAATAAGATATGATCCTGATAATTCACATTCTGAATACTGATGATTCTGTCAGTTAATGAACTCTTCCAATAGGATTCTAAATTTCAATATTCTATCGTTAAACTAAAGATTTGTGTTTCTCTGCCCGATAAGATTATCCTGTATCTCTAAATATATTTGGAAACTCTAGTGTGTTCCTTACTTATATGAATATTTATCTGATTTCTGATTTGAATTATATTTGACATCTGATCTGAAATCTGTTCTGATTCCTAACCTGGATTCTGTTCTGATATCTGATCTGAATTATGTTTTGATTTCTGATATCTCCGTTTACCGACGGAGAAATGTTTTATGGGGTTTATTGTTGGAGGAAGATTATCTGCAGACTCCTCGGCTTTGTGCTCAGGTCTAAATGGCATGTGCGGTTGGGTGTATGGTTTGGGGAACCTACACATTTATGATGTGAACGGATGGGGGTATATATATATATAATATATGTTTTAAAAGATCTGTATCTTTTTACTGAATTTTTCGGGAACACACTAGAAAACCTGTTCTGATCTCCTGAACCTAGACATCCGAAATATTTCCATCTGAAATGAACTATTTGTTATCTGTATCTGGACAGCGTCTGTTCTGAGCATCATCAGCATCATCTGGTAGTTCTGTATTACTGAGCTTTTCGAAGCTCACTCTATTACTCACCTTTTCAGGTTAAAAGAATTGTACCAGTGCATCTATCGACTTCAGTAAGGGAGTTCTTCCGGTGTTGTTGCAGAGTATGGTACATGTGATTAGGAGGCATGTAATTGTATTTTGATTTATATACGAGTCTGGAAATATGTTTTATTTTTAAATAGTGACAAATGATTTTATAAGTTTACATGTTCTGATAAAATGATTTAAATTTTCCGCTATTTTTACAATGGGTCGCTCCGGTGGCCCTAATGTGACACCCCGGATCGGATTTGGTTACCCTTATCGGTCTGTGGGGGTTACATTTAGTGGTATCAGAGCTATGGTTTGAGTCAAAATTTTTCAAGATAGACCGGCCGGTCAAATGTCAAAATATGTCTGATCAGTACATGCCCTAGACTGCAATCGTACCTCTCTGAGCCGGAACTCCAGGGCTGAGTCCCTATCGTATTGAGTAAACCAAAGCTTCTATCTGCTAAGGCTATACTTGTACAAAAAGGAATACCAGTAACATCTGTCTAAACGCTGTAAAGTATCTCATGAGCCATGTGAGAGTTATTCATCTGAGAATTTCTGACTCGACTCCGGAAATGAAATTGAGATATGTTGCTGCTCTACGAGCCTATTCACGTATCCAATGCTGAATTGATTTCACAAGATAAAGTTGTTCTGATTATTTACTTGGACTGAGGAGAATTCTGAAGAGATTGATTACTCGAGAAAATTTTAAATTCTTTTATTGAAATAAGGAAAATTTATGATAAGAATGTATGCTCAGTTGGTTAAGGATAAGTGAAGGAATCGTACTTTTATAAAAGCTATTGATAGATTGAAAGAACTGATGGAAGTTTCATTTATGCAATATGTGATATGAATGAATTTCGAGGACGAAATTTTTTTAAGGAGGGGAGAATTGTAACACCCCAATTTAGGGGCTAAATTTAAGAAAATATAAATTGGTGGATTTAATTTGGTATTTTGAAAGAAATAAGGGATTAAATTGTAAAATTTTAAAGTGGCAGACCGTTTTATGAAGTGCAGGAAGTTCAGTGGCTAAACTCTTGGTTTAACCATTTTTAAATATGAGATGTTATAAAC